TGGACGACTCAAAAGTCGACGTGTACATCTCCGTTCACGACAACGCGATTATGGATCTGGCGTTCTCAGAAGATGATATGCGCCTGGCGACGGCGTGTGGTGACCGCAGCGGCCGGATTCTCGACGTTCCTACGCAGACTGTTGCTGCTGAGCTTGGAGGAGGCCACTGGGACTCATTGCGGCAGGTTGCTTTCCAGCCCGGCGAGGCGGCCGGCAACGTCATTGCTTCGTCTGATCGAGCTGGTCGCATCCAGATTTGGGACCTGCGATGCTCCTCATCACCGGTCAACAGCTTTTCTTGCCCAAGCGGCATCGGCCAGCGCGACACCTCCCTCGAGCCCCTTCAGGCCAAGGGTGTAAATACCATCGACAACGCCCACGAGCGCACAGTGCAGGGCAACACTTCATCAGCGTCGGTTACTGCTATTCATTGGATGCCGCCCGGCCGCGAACACCTGCTGCTCTCTGCCTCCGAGGCCAACGCCTCCATCAAGCTTTGGGACACGCGATATATCAAGCCCCGGCGGCAGGCGGAAGAGACGCCCCTCGCTGTGACTCAGGAGCCGCGAGGCCACACGTGGCGCTCCTACGGCATCACGTCCCTGGCTCTCAGCTCCGACGCCGCCCGCCTCTATGCCGTCTGCAAGGATAGCACCGTCTACGCCTACTCCACGAGCCACTTGATGCTGGGCCATGCGCCAGAGCTCGAAGATGGGGCAAGCAAGCGCAGGCCCAACGGCGCCCATGGCCTGGGGCCCATGTACGGCTTCAAGCACGAGCTCTTCCGCGCCCAGTCCTTCTATGTCAAGTGCGACATCCGCCCCGGCATCAACGGCTCCTCGGAGCTCCTCGCCGTGGGCAGCACCGACGGCTGTGCCCTCCTCTTCCCGACCGACGAACGATATATCCGCAGCGCCTGGGCCAGACGCTCCCACCTGGCCTCCGAACCGTCCTTTGCCACCCCGTCGCAGAGCATCTCCACGCCGTCCGCGTTTGGATCGTCTGCCACGCCCCTCATCCCCATCTCACGCCTCGGTACGCCCCTCATCCGCGGCCACGGCCGCGAAGTCACCACCCTCAGCTGGTCTCACGACGGGAAGCTCGTCACCGCCTCGGACGACTACATTGTTCGGCAGTGGCAGCAGGACGAGTCCCGGGCGCGGTACTTGCGGCAGGTGGGCGAGTTTGGCGGCGAGCGGCATTTGGCCGGCTGGGCTGATGTGGGAGATGATTGGGATACTCCTGACGAGGACGACGACGAATGACCGACAGGATTACACAAACAAAAGAAGAAGTGAAAAAGAAAAAAAGGGGACGAAAAAGAGGAAAAGAAGAGAAGAGCAATGAAAGTGATGACGAGTATATGAAACCGAAGGATAACCATGGTAAGTTATGGAACGATTGGCCTGCTTTGAGCCCCCTCTGTTAAGTGTTTTACTTCCTGCGATGTTTCT